ATCATCTCCTCTTCTTAAAGACAAACATTTACATTATATTTATAAATACACCAAATTTTATATAATTCTACCCCTTCATCCCCTTCCCCCCTCCCCCTCCCGGACTTCCCAGAACTGAGTACAGGGATAAATACATAACATCCCACGTCTAAAATAAGCTATCCATTCACAATACAAACAAAATTAACATACTTTAACTCTAACATACAATAATGAACTTATAAAATATATATATAAATTATATTAAATATATAAAAAATATTAGAAAAGAAAAATATTTATTCAAAAGCTATATGATAATTAATCACTTCATACTTTCTCTTAATATAATCTATCCATCTTCTCCATACCAAGATAAATTTTTCTTGAGATTGATCCTTCAAGTATGCGGAAATTTTTGCCATTTCTGCAAAGNGCCTCCTCAGGGTGCCGCCAACCAGACAGTGTCGGTTGGCGACCCCCAGGGGGAGAGCCTTCTCTGTCGGAGCGCCCACCCTCTGGAACGAGCTGCCCCCAGAGATCCGGGTGATTCCGGATCTCCCCTCCTTCCGCCGCGCCCTCAAGACTTGGCTGTTTCAGCAGGCAGGACTGGCCTAGGGGTATTTTAATTGGTTGTAACAAAATTTTAATAGAGCGGCCAATTCAAATATTTATTTTTAATTATTTTAGATTTGTATTTGGTATTTATGTGGGATTGTTTTAAACTGGCTGTAAGCCGCCCTGAGTCCTCCGGGAGAAGGGCGGGGTATAAATGAAATAAATAAAATAAATAAATAAAATAAAGAGGATTCTTTTGCCGTGGTTGAAATATTAACACAGAGACACAGGTGATCAAAATCGCACACATAAACGCCACAGGCATGTGTTGACGGCAGATCTTCTTCCTTTAAATATTCCTTTAAGTAGGCGCAGTGGGTTTTGGTTGTCTAGTTTCCATGGAGATGTGTTCCCTTGGTCCTTGTTGTTGCAACTGGTTGATGTGGTTTCCCCAGCAGATGCACAAGATGCCAGTGTTCTGGCATTAGAGCAGGGGTAGTCAACCTTGGCTCTTTTATGACTCATGGACTTCAACTCCCAGAATTCCTGAACCAGCTTAGCTGGCTCAGGAATTCTGGGAGTTGAAGTCCACGAGTCATAAAAGAGCCAAGGTTGACTACCCCTGCATTAGAGCAATGCTTCTCAGCCTTGGCAACTTCAAGACGTGTGGACTTCAGCTCCCAGAATTCTGGGGAATTCTGGGAGTTGAAGTCCACACGTCTTGAAGTTGCTAAATTTGAGGACCCCTGCCTTAGATTATTGGTGAGAATGGGATTGGCAACTAATATTAGCAATGGTCCAAGCGAGTAGGACTTTGAGGCAGAGATGTAAGGCCCCACCTGCATTTTGGATGTTTTTTTTTTCCTGGTTCCCCCCCCCCCCATCCTGTTTTGTGTTTTATCTTTGGTGACAAAAGAAAAACAAATATGTTAAAAAGAGAACATATTTGCCACATTTGTGTTATTTTCCTACGATTATTACATGTAGTATTGATCCTATGGGTAGGTAAGTTAGACTGCCTTGGATGCCAGCTAATTTATAAAGTCTGTGTAGCCTATAGTAATTAAGACTTTGTTCTTTTTATTGGCACACAGCAGGCAGAAAACTCTCTGTAACAGCAGGGGCTGCAATTTCTTTTAGAAAGGTTTTAACGTCTTAGTTGCTTCCTGCCATACTAGGTTTCCAAATTCCCAGAAAAAGGTTTTAGCTCCAAAAGATGTATCTCAGTACATATGTCTTTTAGCTCCAAAAGAGTTTTAACATCCATTAATAAATACAAAGAGTGAAAAGTAGAGCTTCTGTGGGCTTTATCCTACTTGTCTTTGCTAATGTTTGCTGGGCTTTTAAGTAATTTGCCTTTTATTACGGGGTGGATATATTTTGTTGTAGATTTCGCTTGTTTCCTATGCGGTGCAACACATTCTTGTTCAATTTCTTTGCAAACTGTGTTTGAGGGGAGACGTAACACTGAGTTTGGTAAAAGAAAGATGGAATCTTTTAAAGGCATTTATCTGGAAAGTAAGGACTTGTCGATGGAGTGTTGTCCAGCCAATGGGGAGGCCAAATTTAGTATTAATTAAGGGAGCAAAAGATCAGAAATACGTAATAATGACTTGAAAGAAGAGCTGCAAATGTGAGTTGATAAGTGTGATTATGCTCCTATTATAAATCCCTTAAAAAAAGATAACCGTTTTAATTGTTTTTGTCTTTTAGTATGCAAGGATTTGGATACCGGATTCAGAAGTAGTGTGGAAGTCGGCAGAACTTTTGAAAGATTATAAACCAGGAAACAAAGTCCTACATCTGCGACTTGAGGATGGCAAGGTAATGTTAATTTTACCATTATATTTAGTAAGGTTTGTTATACTTTGATTCTGAAATCTTTACTTTCATGATATGACCCTGTTTATTCGGAATTTGCATCTCCTGCTACCAAAGTCTTCCAGTTGGCTGTAAAGTATCCTTAAAATAAAATAAATAACATTTAAAAGGTACTTTATGTACTACCTATATACCATAACAATCAACCTGAGAAAAAAGTTTGTAAGCTGGTATAGAAAAACGTATCTTTAGGACGTCTCAAGTTTCCTTTTAATTTACACAGCTAATGAACTTTGTGGGGGAAAAACTAAAAAAAATATTCTCCAAGTATAATTTGTGTTATTTTTTTTTTAGGATATTGAATATAAACTTGATGCTAAGTCTAAGGACCTACCACCCTTGCGAAATCCAGACATACTTGTGGGTGAAAATGACCTGACAGCACTCAGCTATCTTCATGAACCTGCTGTTCTCCACAATCTCAAAGTTCGGTTTATAGACTCAAAACTCATTTATACATATTGTGGTAAGCACAGACCCCCTGAAGTCTCTTTCATGTTATTCCTCATTGGTGTAGGTCAGGGGTCCTCAAACGTGGCCACTTTTAAGACTTGTGGACTTCAACTCCCAGAATTCCCCAGCCAGCAGCTGGCTGGGGAATTCTGGGAGTTGAAGTCCACAAGTCTTAAAGTGGCCAAGTGTGAGGACCCCTGGTGTAGGTAAATGGCACATTCCAGACCAGGAATTAAAAAAAAATTGCAGTTCTGAAAAAAGTTTATAATATTTCTTTCACAACTACAGGGGCCTGAGCATTTCTTTAAAGTCATGAAACCTCTGTATTTTTGCTGGTTGTGAAAAACCACAATGCTGCAATGATTGGGTTTTTCCAGTCTTGCCATAGGTTGGTATCGAGTAAGTTTGTAGAATAGACACGATAACTTTCAGATATGCACAGGCATTAAGCTTACCTGAACTTGTTAGATGCTTTTTTAAACTTTTACTGTGTGATTATTGAGCAAAGAACACATGCCTTTTCAGTTGTGGAGATAATGTGTGCATGCAGTTTGTGCATCCGTGACACACTTAATAGATCTTTCATCAGTTATTTAGAAGGTGGTGCAACAAGGGAAGTTCTTTTAAAAAATGGGAACATCTTAAAAACGCATGAGAATTAGGAAGAGATTTAAGCAAAATGTGTTTGGTAAACTTTCTGTCAACGCTGTGACAAACTGAACTGAAACTATAAATTTAACTTTTTTTTCATATGCCTTTCCCCTTCTCCATAGATCTTATTTCCATCCTGTTCTTTACAAGTATTCTTTATTTGTCTTTTGTATTTCCAGTTAGTGGGCTTAGCCCAGGGGTAGTCAACCTTGGCTCTTTTATGACTAGTGGACTTCAACTCCCAGAATTCCTGAGCCAGCATGGCTCAGCTTGGAAACCTCTCCCTTTCCCCTCAGCATGGCTGGCTCAGGAATTCTGGAAGTCCACGAGTCATAAAAGAGCCAAGGTTGGCTACCCCTGCTAGCTCATTGGTGTTCAACTATGGCCGCTTTAAGACTTGTGGACTTCAACTCCCAGAATTCCTGAGCCAGCGTGGCTCAGCTTGGAAACCTCTCCCTTTCCCCTCAGCATGGCTGGCTCAGGAATTCTGGGAGCTGAAGTCCACGAATCATAAAAGAGCCATTTTAAGTCTTTTCTGCCTGGTCCTTTAGTTCCCTCTAGTGTCCATTTGTAACCTTCACCAAGTCTCCTAATATGGGTTTAGTTCCTTTTTAATCATCTCTTTTGAGTATACAATTTAATTACATGCCTGCTTTTTGACTCTTACAGCAAAAATAACCAATATTCCAAATCTCTCTGGTCTCCCAATCTGATCAGAACTTAATCTTTTTGCCAACTGTATAT